ATGTTTCAGTGAGTTTTTGGGCTTTATTTGGCATATCATACCTCTGAATTTTGTTGGTTTAGTGGCCTCTTGAATGGTTAATATATTTGTAGTGTAAACCCTCTTTACTAGCTTGTATTGCATGTTGTTTGGGCCCTTGATTCTAGCACTTTTTGGCCATGCCTTAACCTGATTTTGTGCATTTTTTGGACTGCCTTAGCTCTATTTTTGTGCCCCATGGTCGAATGATGCATGCTATGCATGGTTGTAGTTCAATATCCATGCCTAGCCTTGAGTTTTGTAGCCTTTTGCATGCTTGAATAGAGGTGTTTGCATGTCTTGGCATCATTATGCATGTTATTTCAGGCCTCATACTTGTGCCATGTTCCCATGTTTTCCACTCCTTAAGTGCATTTGAGAGTTGTGCTTGTTTGCCTCATTTTTGGACCATTGCATGAGCTTCATTTCCATGCCTTTTGAGCAACCATTTTAGTTCATATTTGCTACTGTTTTGGTCTGCATAGGGACTGTCTGGGGGTGGTTTGGTCATTTGAGCATCGCTTTGCATACCTCTAGTATAATCCACTTCACTAGTTTCGGTATTTGGGCCATCTAGCATGCATTGTGTGAGGTGTTCGCACGATTCGCGACCCTTTCGTATGTCATTTCAGAGCTGGAAAATGTGTTGTTGTATGCTATATTACATGCAAGCCATGCCTTGGTAGAGTTGCACTTGGTGCCTTAGTTTTGGTCCCTTGCATTTGGGCATGTTTGCATGAGTGTTGTTACTTCATTTCATCATGTTTGCCCACTGATTTGAGTGTGGCTGAGGTCCACTCATATTGGTTTAAGTCCATCTTGCATTGTGTATGTCATATTATGTCATGTGCATTGAGTATGCCATTGATAGTTCATAGCATTGCACATGCTAGTTGCACCTTTGCATATAACTCCTTGTATGTTTGCGTGTCTTAGTTGCATTTTGTTTAGGATTGCATGCTAATTGTTGCATTGTGTTTGCATGCCATGCCATTCTAGTTATTGCATAGTGTTTGGAGTAGGGTTTAGTCCAAACACGAGAAACGAGGGACGTTTCGTACTCAAAGTGACGAAACGTGCTTCAATTCCCGGTCACCGACACTCTTGACTATCCATGATAGAGTTGTTGGCTTTAGGTGTCCATTTGTGCATTTATTTCACATTGAGTCGTGCAATTCGACTCCTCGGCCATCATGCATCGAGATGCGTGATTGGTGACACGAGGATCGAGGACTACACTCCCTAGAGCTCATGCAATGACGGGGAGAGTGGTTATGCATACATATGTTGAAAATACTTTGCCATGCCCCTTTCTTGCTCTCTGTTGCAGCAAATCGGAAGCCAGCAGCAAAAACTGGTCAGCAGTATCCCTACAAGTTCCCATGGAGTTATGTACAGTGTTTCGAGGTCAATTGTAAACAGAGGCAAATCGGGGCATCGCGATGGATTTACCGACAAGGCGACTCGAGCATGCATGCATCTTTCATCATTCCGAATAGAGCTGAGGCAGTCTATTTCATGTAGCATTGCATGCTAGTTTACTCGCTTTCTTAGTTAATTTGTTAATTAGCTAGTGTTGTGTAATAATTAGTTATTCATTTTGGTTGTGTAATATTTATTCGGACCCTCTGCGAGAGGGCAATGTTGTAATAAGTGTGCGTGTGTGTGATGCATGTCTTCCAACCCCACGTCTTTCTCCCTTTTATTTACCAGCTTATGATGGTTAGTTTTAGGGCACGTTTCAATTAGCATACTTATGTTCGCATGTTTGCATCCATTCATCTGTCTTGCATGCACCGAGCTCGGCGTATCATGCTAAATGTATTGTATTTCAATTCCAAGTTGAATACATGTATCGATTGTTGCATCTCATATGCTATCTTAGAATAGCTGAGCCTATTGTAGTTGCATTTTTGCATGTGTTGCATTAAGGCATTCTTAGTATAGTTAGGATTCATGCATATTTTCTAATTAGCTTCTTTCTCTGGCTTGGAGTACTCAGTAAGTGTTTATGCTTTAGCATCCTTGCATGTGTGTGAGTGACTACCATGATAGCATGTATGCCATGAAGCTATGTGCTTATGTGATATAACTGCCTGAATGCCTGTGGGTGAAGGTTGGGTTGCTTGAATTGAAATAATTCGTCGAAACCCGTGTTTTAGCCTACTTGCGAGTAGCAAACTTCAATCCATTTTCAAAACAAACGGATACGCGATACTTTGTTCCAAATTAGGTGATCCAGTCTATACTTGTATGTTGTGCGCATCACATAGTAATTCTAGGCTAATAAACCAGAATAAGAACGCATGTGTTTTCAAAAACTCGATATCATGCTTAGTAGTGGCTGATCTTTGATCGGGCGAGCGGGGGTGCTCATGAAATGACTTTCCCCAATCGTACCCAAGTTCCCAAGCCGAGGCAACTTTGGTAATAACGGACACATGGCCTTTAGGCACGAGTCAGGGTTTCCTAAATTCTTCCAAAATAAAATATTTAGATGGCGACTTTGTATCTGGCAAAGCAGTCCATGTTTGACACTTCTTTCTAAAAAATCAGTTTTTCAAAACGATTTGTCGGATTTGGACTCTTTGATGATTCATCGGTCTTACATTGCACTCTGCGAGATTAGATATAGGACCGTGACATTGAGTCTTGAGCCGTAGTAAGCCCCAATGAACAAAACGAGATTCCCTCTTGGGACGTTCGGGGACGTCTACAGGTTGCTGACTGAAAATGAAGGGCTGCCGGCAGTAATGGTGGTGGTGGAATGAACAAGGAACTAGGGTTTGGCTTTGATACCAAATAAGAAGAAGAGACGTAAAGAGGCCGAATAGTTGGACCTGGAGAGTCAAAATTCATATATCGCATTCGGCCCCGTCTTATACACAAATTCAGAGGAACCCTATTCGGCCAAATAACTAGTTGAGTAAGGGGCCGAGTGAAGGGTGGCTTGCAACAAAAGGAGCCGAGTAAATAGTTATACGACGAATTGAAGGTGGGCTCAGCCCTGAAGCCCAAGAAAGAAAATATATAAATAGAAGAATGTCATCCAGAGAGAGGTATGTGAGAATTATTATACTTAACTTAAAACACAAGTAACTAAGAGAGTATACACTGACTTAACCGTCGGAGTGCTAATTCCGGCACCCCCGACCGAAGTGTTTGTTTCTTTTCAGGTCGTCAATTGAGGATCTCGAGCGTCCTAGTGGATCAAAAGAGTATTTCCAAACCACTTCCCCACAACTATAATAAGGCCTTTTTTGGCTACTAGCCACGTTTGTGCGTTTGTAGCAAAAACCAAAAGTTAACTTTTTTTTGTATTTAAAGACATTTAGGAAGTTAGTTTTCAGCCACTGGTGAAATTACAATTCTACCCCTCATGGGTCAAAATGTACTACATGGGTGAAGTTGTAAATATTTTAAATTAAATGGGAGTAATTTGGTCATTTTATTATGATTTGACATCATAAATAAATATTAATAAAAAAATCCAAAAACAAATTTTTACCAACTTCCCAAATCACTTGTCTAAAAAATCCAAAAGCTTGGTTAAAAGTCAAAAAGTCACTTTTTACCATCTTTCCAAAACACCCCTAACTAAAATTAATTGGGGGTAAGAATAAGAATTTTCGACATAACTCAAGCAATATATAAAATTAACAAGTAGGGTTGACTATTTTTCAACATAAATCTAAGTATGACACGACTCAATAACATAAATTATTAGTTATATATTTTAATGTTCACTAAGGGATGCTATGCCATTTTTTTAATATTTTATTTAACTTCATCTAACTGAATAAAAAAATATGTAACATAATAATTAAGGCTAATGCCTTTTTCTCATTTAAGATATGAAATTTTTTGTTACCTATTTTGGAGTCAATCTAGTAAAAAATATATAGTAATAAGGCACAATTTTTTTTAATTAGAATTGAAATCAAACATTCTATGAATAATTTCATTTAGTAGAAATAAATTTTATAAAATTCAACTTATAGGAAAAATTTTAATCTCTCCATACACTTAATAAGTTATTTTTAACTAAAAGTGAAAGTTTTCAAATTAAATATCAATCGAACACGAATCAAAATAACACTATACGACAACATGAAAATAAATAGATTGAACTAATATTGAAGTAATTATGAAATAATATATGATACACACACCTAATTGGTCAAAATTGGAGGCCCAAGGCTATCGCCTTGGTCACCTCACCTCAGGGCCAGCCCTGTCTCTTGGACCGTATTTGATACAGGACAAGTAGTTGAGAAGTTTCTTTGAATAAATGGAGCATCAGAAGTCCATAAGGATTGATGCATTTATACAACTATGAAATAATCAATTTATACTTGAGTTAGGGACAACGGAACCACTAGGCTGCTGAGGCAACCGCCGTATGCCTAAATGTGTTACGGTCCTTATTGATATGTACTCTTCTATTTTGTAAATTGATGCTGGTTAATTTGTTAGTAGTTGATGGTTGAGCTAGCCCTCTCAATAACTAACTTCCGATATTTTGAGATTGTAAATTTCAGATCTGTAGCTCTTGTATCCCAATTTAGGAATTCTTCTCTCTAAAAATTCAATTATCTTTTGATTTTGACTCCATTATTTGGTATAAAGACTCTAATTTCTTAACCTAATTTGTTCCTGATTGATTGGAAGTCACATTTATCAGTCATAGAAGTGTTGATCTCAGTTTCTGTGGTTTACGAGCTCCTTCAGATTACATTAGGAAGTCCAGACCTCCCAATAGGTGTAAAAAAAATGTTTAAAATACCCATTTCCATTGAGTTTAATGACTAAAATACAAATTTTCCGTCGATTTTACTAAACAAAAATATACAGATAGTTTAGATTGAAAACAAATCAAAATATTAAGATTTAAATTTATATAATTAAAAATTCAGAATTTATTTTGTTCTAAGACTCAAACCTCAAGTTTTTTCTTTGTAATTTCCCCAAGTCTCAAACAGTGGCAAATAAAATAAACTTGACTAATTGCGTCAAATTTAATAATTTACATTCAAGATGAGTATCTTACAAATATTGTAGGGATTGACTTTGCCAAATAAATTCAGGGATTTGACCACCAAGTGAGCAATTCCGCAGTGTTCTGGAGCGATTATTTTGATTAGACTGCCAAAGTTCACATAGAATGAAAGCAGCAGATATAATTTTATTGTGTTAATGAGAGGCTCACAGGTGTGTCAATGACTGATTATTGACAATGGGGAAATCTCTGGGACTTCCAGCTATGTCAGCAAGCTGCCTGAACAAAGAAATGGGAATGGGAATTTAGAACAGCAAGTTGTAATCAAAATAACTTGAGTGAGGAAACAAAATATATGGCCTCAGCCAGGGGTAAAAAATTACAAGATTGTAAGATTCTTCAATGATTGGAACACTCCATGACTAACAGGCCATTCAAAATTGTTCCCCATGAGGTACCTATGATGATCAAAAGTCGAACATGAAAAATAGGAATCAAACTTCCATGGTGCATACATGGCTAGCTTAATTAGACTAGCTCAACTCAATGCTTACAATTCCTCAATGTCTTTCCATTGGGCTATGAAAGCAGGTATTTGTCCATTGAAGTTATTCCCGCGGACGTCACTACAAAAGATAAATAAATGAACTTAAAGAGATGGTGCTTAGTAACAAGAGTGAAACAAGAAATGTAATATCAACATCCACTTACAAATATGCCATGTTTTTAAGTTTATCAAACGATTGACGCAAATTTCCACTAAAATTATTATTCGGTAGGCACCTGAAATCAAAAGCGATAACACGATTGTTACAACAATACAAGTCATGAAATATACTTCTCTAGTTGCAGTTGAAATGTATTTCTTCGTATTGGTGAAAATTGTTGATCCCAAGAGTTTCCATGTATAGCATTTTTGGAGTACATTTAGAGGCAACATCGAACTTTTAGGATTTTTGAATTTTGTAGGTGGGGTCCAAAGTTTTGATTGGGTGCTAATATCCCTCAGAGTTTAACCAAATAAGTTTGAAAATTGAATTTATGGCCTGAGTGCCCTCAAAAAAAATAAAAATAAAAAAATAAATAACTCAAATGAACAAATAGGGTCCAAAATACAGAGAAATATTTGTAAATAAATCTATCAGTTTTGTGTCATGTATTTTTTAGATTTCAGTAATTTAATAATTTTATTAATCTTTAATATAAGGAATTTTACAAGTAAATGATGTAATAGAATTTGAGAAGGTCTTCTACGTTGAGTAAAGAATCAAATATAAAGCAAATAAATATTTATAAAAATTTTAACATTTAGAATTTAAACTGTAGTTCCATATAAATTAATGGATTTGAAGGATATGACCATAATTTGAGAACCATAATTTTGAATTAAGGTGGAAAAACCAGTAAGTCTGTTTACTCTGGTAACCAAATAGACATCAGGGGGAGGCTTACAGATATCTAAGATTTGTGAGATGCCCTAGCTCATAGGGAAGTTCCCCTGAGAGCTGATTATCAGATAAATCCCTACAAAAATAATAATAAAATATTGAGAATAGAATAGTTCACTAACAATAAATAAATCACATACGAAATAGGATCAGTAGGGTTTTACAGAGCCACAAGGCTAGAAAGGCTCCCCAGTTGAGATGGTATCTGTCCTGACAATAAATTACCATCTAGATCCCTGTAATTTGTTAACAACAACAACAGAACAATAGACCATCATATTACTATCCACAACACTACCCAAAAACAACCAATCAATAGTTTAGATTTATTTTACTCATGCATTCATATTTTATCAATTTAATCTCCACCATACAAATAAATTTAAGATAAATTATGAGTTAAAAATGGTGGGTTCATATCATTGATGGATTACTATTATTGTATTAAGAGCTATACTAAAAATTTACCCAAAAACATCAATGGCCTCGTTTGGGAAGTGACTATTTTAGTAGGCTATTTTAGTTTTTGGCTATTTTAAGTAGGCTAAAATTTTTGTATTTGGGAAGATGATTGGATTTTTTTGTGGTTAGATGTGATGTTTGTGAGAGAAAAAGTGAAATGATTATGGGTTTGATGTGATATTTTGTCTTATTAACTATTTTAGCCTATTTTATCTTTTTGTGATTTTTAACCTAAATTTGACTATTTTTTTTCTTCCCAAACACTCGCAATGTGTGTTCATATTTATTCGACACATGCAAACTTTATTGTTGGGTTAAACCTAATAAAACCTGTGTCAGTTGTGCAGAGAGAGAGAGAGAGAGAGAGAGGGGAGGGGCGAAGCCGTCACACTTACAACTCTAGTAGAGATGGAAGAGCACCCAATTCTGGCGGGATTGGACCATTAAAATTGTTGTCTGCGAGGCTTCTGCGGAGGGAAAAAAGATGCTTCTTATTGATGCTTGAAAAGAAAATTGATATATGCCTAAGCAAATGACAGAGAAAACAAATATGATATAAAAAAGTTTCGGAGAAATTAAATAAATAAATTAATTAAAAGTTTAATTCTCATAATAAATTAAATTATAAATTTTTAATTTTTTTCAATATAAATCTTAAATTTTTACTGTTATCTCAATCTCAACCATCAGTTTATTTATGTTAAACAAAACTACTAAAGAAGAGTATTTTAGTATTTATACTAACTATTTTACAATATATATGGGAAGGATCTATTTGCACCCAAAAATTAGGTTGAAAAATTTTTATTTACACAACCACTAATTCTCTCAGTACACACTATTAACAGATTAAATTTATGTTTCAATAATATCCTCAAATGAAAAGATTGTTAAGGACAATATGGGAGTATATTCTATCCATTCAAAAATTTCATATATAAAAACACAAAATACACTTCACACATTATCATCACCTATAGATATATAAACATCTAAAACAAAACATCCAAAATATATTAGTTTTGAAGATCTAAGGGGATAAAAATATTGAAATCAATTGGTTTAGGATTTAAGAGCATTGCAATTAATTGATTTTAAAGATTTAAGATTTAAGAACATTAAAATCAATTGGTTTTGAAGATTTGCACACCATAGATAACACTGAGATTGTTGATTTCGAATAATACAACAATGAAAAAGTCAGTTTACTATTTAAAGAAATTGCCTGTTTGTGGCCACGAGGCCTTACTTGTAGGCAAAATGCCATATGTGTATAATGTTGTTCAAATTGTGAAATTAAATAAATAGATTTATGAAAAAATCAAATTATATACCAAGAACATATGCTGATAATTACAATTAAATTTTAACAGAAATACACAAAACAATAAAAGGGTAAAGAGACGAAACCGAAGCCTGCACGGAAGTAGTTTCCTTAAAACAGATTTCGCCGCCTCACGGGTCGAGTGCTTGAGGAATCCAGGCGTCTGTCTCCCAGGATACGACGGTCAAAACCAGTTACGACAGAAACACTTTCTGTCTAACTTAGCGAACAAGAACAGTGGCAGCACTCTCTCAATGTAGGAACTTTCTGGCAAACTGACTTGTAAAATGGAAGCAAAAAAATTTCTACATTGAAACTTGATAGGAGGGTCTCAATTTATACATGTAAAGGGGAGAGAAGAAGAGCCTCCAGCCTTTAAGGCTGGTGATTAAAACACCAAGCATCCATAGCCCCTTTCCAAAAATATGAAAGTTTGGATGCCCAAATGATTCACACCCTTTAGCCAAGAAAAAGGATTTAAATACTCTTTAAAATCCTATTCATGAATCTAACATCATGAGGCAATTTCTTGGCAATTTCTTATTCAAAACCCAATGGTTTTTGGCTCACTTGGACCCAACACAAAAAATGCTGCGTGTTCACTTTAATATTTAATTAAAGTCACCACACTTTAATATTAAATTAAACCCCCACATGAATAAAAATTAACGAAAGATTCAACAAACGGACATCGTTCAATAATAATGACTCGAAGAGAGAGTACAACGAATAACCCCGACATCAGAGAAGGTAGCTTTTGGCTTTGAACCTCTCCCAGTGAAAACCTATTGAGTTTACTGGCTGATCAGTGAATAAGACATCTTGAACTGCTCTGCCGTTTATGTAAACTGAGACAATAGATCTCACACGGGAATTACTCCTACCACCATTATGTTCTCATTGGTGTGCCCTGTGTGGCCCTGGACACTAGCCTGGTTCAGCGAGTGGTTTCAAAGAATCTTGGCCTGCCCAATTCTTCTAGAAGCGGCCCCACTTCACACTCACATAGGTGACTCTACTTGAGTATCCTGCAATACTCAGCTCAACAGCTTAACACACTAGAGTCATTAAAAGCTTAGCTCAACCTCTACACTTGCAGGTATCACTGATAGAAGGAATGGCTGGAGGTTTAACCTCCTCAGTGACATACCACCGTTACATGTAATTAGGTTGTCCCATTAAACCTAGATCTTGGGATCTCCAATCAACTAGGTTGGGTTTACATTCCGGTAACTTTCAAAGACCTTAACCCCATTTCTTTTGACGACGTTTCGACTAACACTCGACTTAACTCTTTGGTTAGCAGATCTGCAATGTTGTCCTTAGACTTTACATAGTCTAAAGAGACAACTCCATTCGAGAGTAGTTGTCGTATGGAATTATGTCTACGACGGATATGTCTAGACTTTCCATTATATATATTACTCTGTGCCCTACCAATTGCAGATTGACAATCACAATGAATACAAATAGCTGGCACAGGTTTAGACCAACGTGGAATATCTTCAATGAAATGGCGAAGTCATTCTGCTTCTTCCGTTGCTTTATCCAAAGCAATAAACTCTGATTCCATCGTTAATCTAGATAAACACGTTCGCTTGGAAGATTTCCAAGACACGGCTGCCCCACCAAGAGTGAACACATATCCACTAGTGGACTTTGAGTCCTTAATATCTGATATCCAATTCGCGTCACTATATTCTTCAAGCACCGCTGGATATCGAGTATAATGCAGCCCATAATCCCGAGTGTAGCGTAAATACCTTAACACCCGCACAATGCCCTTCCAATGAGAAGCATCGGGATTACTTGTGTATCTACTAAGCCTGCTAACCGAGTAAGCTATATCCGGCCTAGTACAACTCATCAGATACACTAAACTTCAAATTACCCGAGAATATTCTAACTGTGAGACACTTTCATTATTATTCTAGGTAAAATGTAGACATAAGTCTACATGTGTCGATGACACACTCGTATCTGATCCACTAAACTTCTCAAGTATCTTATCAACATAATGAGACTGAGAAAGTACAATTCCGCCAGAGATTCTGGTAATCTTAATTCCCAGAATAACATCTGCAATGCCCATATCCTTCATGTCAAACTTAGAGTTTAACAACTTCTTGGTAGTTTTGATCATTTCATCGTTACTACCTATAATGAGCATATCATCAACATATAGACACAAAATGACATAACATCTGTCAGTGTCTTTAACATAAACACACTTGTCACATTCGTTGATTCTAAACCCATTTGGCAACATTACATTGTCAAACTTCTCATGCCATTGTTTAGGCGCTTGGTTCAAACCATACAAAGATTTGACAAGTTTACAGATTTTCTTACTTTGCCCTGGAGTTGAAAACCCTTCAGGTTGCTCCATGAAGAGTTCTTCATTCAAATCCTCATTTAAGAAAGCTGTCTTTACATCCATCTGGTGTATCTCCAGATTGCGCAAAGCTGCTATCGCAATCACCATGCGAATGGATACTATCCTAGTTACAGGTGAGTACGTATCAAAGTAATCCAGGCCTTCTCGTTGCCTGTACCCTATGATAACGAGCCTCGCCTTATACTTGTCAATAGACCCATCGGCCTTCATCTTTCTTTTTAAAAATCCATTTGCAGCCTAAAGGCTTACAACCTGGAGGTAAATCTACCAACTCCCAAGTGTGGTTCTATAAGATGGAGTTAATCTTACTTTTGATCGCTTCTTTCCATCAAGGACTCTCAAGAGAAGGCACAGCTTCGTGAAAAGTTTGAGGTTCGTTCTCAACCATAAAAGTCAAGAAGTTTGGATCAAAAGACTTGGACATCCTAGCCCTTTTACTCCTTCTAGGCTGATCATCACCTTGATTCTCAACTTGATCATCAAAATGATCATCATCACTAGCAAGCTCACCAAATTGCTCCAAAACCTCAGAACCCCTTCTTAGGTTCGGCAATGTCTTCAAAGAAACATGCATTCCTTGACTCTATGATGGTATTCCTGTGAATGTCTGAAGTTTCAGACTTATGTACAAGAAATCGATATGCACTACTATTATGTGCATAACCAATGAATATACAATCCACGGATTTCGGGCCTATCCTAACCTGTTAGGGTGTAGGAATCGCCACTATTACAAGACACCCCTACATTCGTAAGAATTTATAAGAAGGCTTAACGCCTTTCCATAACTCATACGGGATCTTGTCCACTTCGCTTCAACACAAGTTTCACACTTGTGTTTCATCAGAATAACCTTGTCAAACTCAAAAAACCATGCGAAAAACATGTTTACTGAGAAGAGACCTTGAGACAAGATTCTAACGAATGTCCGGAACATACAGGACTTCATTCAAGGTTAGCTCTTTTCCTGAGGCTAACTTCAGGACCACATTTCCCTCAACAAATGAGGTAGTAGAGTTTCCCATAAACAACTTCTCACCGTTTGTAACCGGTTCGAAAGTTGTAAACAGCTCCTTCTCAGAGCAGATGTGGCGTGTAGCCCTAGTAAAACTAAAAGTCTCGTTACCACAGTTGTAGCACTTCCCAAAGAATCGATAACCAGGTTCTTGCAGCTTGTATGCCAGCTTCTTTGCAACACCACCCCTTGGTCCCAGCTTAGAGCCCTTGTTCACGGGGGGGCTTCTTCCTTACCCCAGAAGATTTGCCATGCTCAATGACATTGGCCTTCACTGAGGAGGTACTCCCTCCTTTCTTTCTATTACCCTCCTCATTACGGAGTCGGATAATTAGGTCTTCTTTATAGAATTTATACAAATTTTTAAACAAATCCTTGTGTCACAATGATTATGAAACTCTCAAAATCATATCACAGTAAATACATTCCCAGAATGTCATCAACCGAATTAGGCACCCAAATATATTAGGTCCGACCTATCACTCTGAAGCCAATAGTCTTACTATTAGGAAACACAAATCCAGTGTTCAATAGTCTACTATCCGGAACTTCATAACATGGCCAGTAGTCTTATCACTAGGAATCACTAATTTCTCAGCATGTGGTTAGTAGACTTTCTACTAGTAGGAATCACAATGTCTTAACTTGTAATCAGTAGTCACTTTACTACTAGGAATCACAACGTCCTGACATAGGATCAATAGACTCTTTCATTACTAGGAATCATCAT